ACCAAGCCAAGCCTCGCTTCCTTCCACTGGCTGAGCTCTCCTCCTTTGGGAGGAAGGGAGGGGGTGGGAAAGAGCAAGAGAACGCAACAGGCGTGGCTCCTTTAAGACCAGCAAAGTTTCATTTCAGGTATAAGCTTTTGTGTGCACGCACACATCTTCACAAGGAGGGAGAGTGGCTAGGTTCTTCTGACAAGCACAATTCACAGTGAGATTGTTGTGCTTTGCTGTTTTCTTTGAGACTTGATCTCTCACTCACAAACACACCTGTGTTAAAAGGAAGGGGTGCATTGGGATAAGGGGAAAGGAGGATTAAAAGGACATTATTTTGGTTTATTCTGAAAAGTTTTTTTTTAGATCAGATTTCTCTATTTTTATTTTCTTTCAAAAAATACTCTGTTTAAGAATTAGAACACTTGGATTGGATTCCATTTTTTAATAACTGGAAATAGATGGCTTAAACAGGGCTATTTTGGGGCAGGAACGCACAGGAATGGAGTTCTGGCTGGCTTCAGAGTTGGCCACGCCCACTACAGCCAAAACCTCTGCGTGCGTGGCTACAGAGGGAAGGCCTGGAGAGCGACCCCCCCCCCGGCGACTCCAAGGTGGGGGGGCAGGGGGCTCTGGAAGGATCGGGGAGGCATTTAAATGCCTCCCCATGCCTTCCCCAGCCTGTCCATGGGCTGGCTTACCCAGGCGCCCGCTGCTGCAGGGCACCTAAACAAGCCAAGGGAAAGCATGGGGTGTGGCCTAATACGCTAATAAGCTGTGATGTCAGGGGTGTGGCCTAATATGCTAATGAGTTTCTGATGTTGGGTGTGACCTATTATGCTAATGAGTTCCTGTTGGCCTTTTTCTACAAAAAAAAGCCCTGGGCTTAAGTATTTTAAAAAATATATATGGTTCCATATGTGCCAGTTGAACATGTCTTTGTTTTTCCCCTCCCACCTTGCTGGCTGCCTTTCTTCACTCTCCCTTTGTCTTTTATCACTAGCACTGAGTGGATTTTGCCTAGTCTGAAATCAACACATTATTTCACTTGGAGAGAGACCCCTCTTCAGTTTCCTGCATAAACGAAAAAAGAAACTTAACAGCACAGTTTGCAGTCTATAAGTGGAAAGGAGCAAGAGACCAGTAGCACCTAACAAAATTTGTGGCAGGGCTTGAGTTTTCGTGAGTCACTGCTCACTTCTTCAGATACAGCTAGAATGTGAGTCTCTTGGTCCTTATAACTTGGAGAGTGGAGTGATTTCAGATGCCAAATAACAATAGGAGGCATTGGTAATGAGACAGGAAAACTAGGTCTCAATTCAGTCCAGGAGGATGCATTGTCTTGAGCTTCATTACCAGTTGCAATTTGGCAGTCTCTCTACTCTCCCTTTGAAATTCCTTTGTAAGAGAACTGCTACTCTTAGGTCAGCAACTAAATGTTCTGGAAGATTAAATGTTCTCCCACTGTTTTTTGAATGTTGTGGTTTCTAATGTCAGACTTATGTCCATTTATTCTTTGCATCCTCCTGGACTGAATCCTCCTGAACCAAACTGAGACCTAGGTTTCCCATCTCCTTACCAATGCTGATATCTCCATACCTACTACCCCTCTGCATATCTCACCTAATCCAATCAAGCCTGCTATTGCCATTCACCTGCAATTGTCAATTGGCATCTGAAATCACCTTTATAAAATTTATATCTCCAGTACCTCGTGTTACATTTTATACCACACATGGCCCGGCTATGTCAGATCCAGTACTCATAACAAATGAGTTTAACACCTCTACTTTAAAGGGACTGCACAAGATAGCCCAAAACAGCTAAGCAGGAGGGAGCTCTGCAAACCCTGTTTAAAGGGACTGCAGTCCCTTTCAAGGGGGTTTGCAGGGCCATGAACCAAACTGCATTTTCCCAGTTTGTGCTCATCCTTCCTTGTATCTGTTCTTGAAACAATGCTAAAAATAACACTGTTCCCTGCTTATCTGATGTGTTCCATGTATAAAATTTTAACAGGATTAGGGCCTTACTACTTGAGAACATATTGCATAATGACATTTTGTTCTCCTGATTTTAATCTTATTGCATGTGTTGCATGCCTTCTAATACTGTTCAATCTTTTACAGTGTGGAAAATAGAGATCAAAGTTGTGGGTAGCATAATATTTAATAATGCTTTGATTATAAAAATGTTTGAAGACTGGTTTATTGCAGGCCTGTAGCCAGGATTTTTTAATTTGGGGGTGCCTTTAGATAAGTTAGGGGGCACCCCGCACACAGCCCTGTGCACACCCTCAAGGGAGCGCCTTAGCTGGATGGAAAGTCGGGGGCCGGGCCCCGAGATGCCCCACTGTAGCTTACAGGCCTGGTTTATTGTACCCCATATATACTAAGGTAGTCAAGTACAACTGTAGAAGACAATGTGTATAGTTCAATTCTAGCTGTAGAAATTACTGTAATCAACATAGCACCCTGTACTGGTAAACAGATGAAGTTTGGTATCTCTGTCAAATTTGGAAAGTGATAAAGTAGAATTAGTTTTACTGCATTTTTGTCAATAGCTCTTTTTATCTGAACCAAGAATTCCAGGAAAAAGAAGAGGAGGAGGAGTTTATATCCCGCCCTTCACTCGGCGTCTCAGAGCGGCTTACAAACTCCTTTCCTTTCCCCTCCCCAGTACAGACACCCTGTGAGGTAGGTGGGGCTGAGAGAGCTCTTTTGAGAACTGCTCTTTCAGAACGGCTCTGACAGAACTATGGCTTGCCCAAGGCCATCCAGCAGCTGCAAGTGGAGGAGTGGGGAATCAAACCCAGTTCTCCCAGATTAAAGTCTGCACACTTAACCACTACACCAAACTGGCTCTAGCTTTAGTCATACGGCATCAAGAATCAAACTTCTGAAATATTTGTGCTCTGTATGTCCATACTGGACTTTATAAATCCTAGTTTTCTGTGCAATCAGAACAGCCTCACTGGAGCCCTGTTCACTATGTCTTATGAAGTATTTTCATACCTTTAAGCATGTAAATATTTTAAAGTGCTGTAAACTGGCAAAAAAAAAAGTAGATAGGTACCACTTCAGTGGGAAGGTAACAGTGTTCTGTGCGCCTTGTTAGTCATGCCAGCCACGACCATGGAAATGTCTTCAGACAGCGCTGGCTCTTCGGCTTTGAAACAGAGATGAGCACCGCAACCCTAGAGTCAGATTCAACTGGCTTTTGAGCAAGGGAACCTTTACCTTTTAAACTGGCAAAACTCCTTTCCAATATATCTTTCCAATTATTTTATGATTTTTATAGCTTCTCTGATAGAAGTCATAAGAACACAAGAGAAGCCGTGTTGGATTAGGCTAATGGCTCATCCAGTCCAATACTCTGGGTGCGTTCAGACAGGGGCTTTACATCGGTATAGGTGCCGGTTGCAATCGCTGTACTCACCGGCGTTCAGACGGCGAACATCTGCCTCCTGTCCCTAACCGATGTAAAGCCCTTTACACCGTTGCACTCTGCCACTAGGTCCCAAGTGGTGGTATACTGAGTGCAACGGTTGCTTTCGATCTTCCCCAGCGTCTGATCGCTCTCCACCGGTGCCTAGCCATTTCCGTCGGAAGCCTGAGGCTTCCGTTCCCCCCCCACCATTTTTTTTAAAAAAACAGAGCAATATGCGCTTGGGCAAAGCTTCGCCCTGAGCGTTTGTTTAAAAAAAAAAATCCCTTACTTTACCTATCCGGAGGAGTCCGGGACTTAAGGGAGGCCAGTTTGGGCTTTAAACTTTAAAGGTAAGTCCTTACCTTTAAAGTTTAAATGTAATGGGGGGGGGGGTTTGAGCCGACGCCCGCAGCGTGAGACCGGGCGTACAACGATGGGAACTGCAAAATGGAGGTAAGTGTGATCGCGTTTCTGCCGGCATAAACTGCGCCGGTTCCAACCGGTGCAGTTTATGCCGGCAGAAAGCCCCCGTCTGAACGCACCCTCTGTGTCACACAGTGACCAAAACCCAGGTGCCACCAGAAGGTCCACCAGCAGGGCCAGAACTCCAGAAGCCCCTTCCACTGTTGCCCCCCCCCCAAGCACCAAGAATACACAGCCCCAGACATAATATTTCATCTTTACCTTGTGGCTAATAGCCACTGATGGACCTCTGCTCCATATGTTTATCCAGTCCCCTCTTGAAGCTGTCTAGGCTTGTAGCTGCCATCACTTCCTGTGGCAGTGAATTCCATCTGTTTGTTACTTTTATCTTTTCTAAGCTTACTGCTCACTAATTTCATTGAGTGCCTACAAGTTCTTGAATTGTGAGAAAGGGAGAAAAGACTTCTTTCTCTATTTTGTTCTTGTGGCCCTTTCTTACATGCCCAGGGAAATGCTGATTGCCATGTTGGGGTCAAGAAGCAATTCCCCCCCCAGGACTGTTTAACAAGGGATCCTGAAGGTTTTTTGCCATCTTCTGGGCATGCCGCAGGGGTCACTGGGTGTGTGTGGAGGGACGCATTTGTGAATTTCCTGCATTGTGCAGGGGGTTGGACTAGATGTCCCTGGAGGTCCCTTCCAACTCTATGATTCTACCTTCTCTATCACATGCATAATTTTGTAAACCTCTGTCATGTCACCCCTCAATCGTCATTTCTCTGAGCTAAAGAGCCCTAACCTATTTAACCTGTCTTCATAAGGAAAGGTGTTCCATCCCCTTAATCATTTCAGTTGCCTTTTTCTGCACTTTTTCCAAAGCTATATTTTTGAGGTGCAGTCATAGAATAATGACTTCATTCTTACTGCTGACACATGTTTAATAAAGTATAAATTGGTACCACATCTTGCACGCATGTTCTCCTGCAATGGAATATCAACATTTCTGCCTCTTCAGAGGAATACATGAGGTTTGTTTAAATTACCTTAGAAGGGTCATTAGATTTAAGAAAGAAAGGCTTTGGTAGGTAACACAGTGCTTTTCAAAAGATTAAAAATACTGAGTACGTTTTAAAGGAAAAACATGAAAGTCACTAGAAATACAGGAATTATCTCGGGTCTTCCAAAGTGGCAGTTGCATGGAAAACCTTTATTTGGGTTTGTTTGCAGTCACCACACTGTAAGCCATCACTGAGATATGAAGAGATTTCATATATCCTTTCACTTTGCAGAGTTTTTTTCCCCTTGCCCAGCTCTTTCAAGTTTTGATGACTGTCTTTTAAGATGCAGGTTGGACCAAAGAGTTCTTCCATAAGAGTACTTTTCTTCGCCATTGATACAGTAGGAGTGTGGTCTTCACTATGTGTTGAAGTGTCCTGCCTTATTTTGGTAGCATTACCAAATGAGGGTTCATAGGTACTAACTGAATTTTCCCCCTTTACTTCAGTCTGCTGCCGACCCACCTGTCTACTATTGTAGAAAGTGCTTGTGTTGGATATGGGACCTGTTGATGGGAGTCCCTGGTGCAAATTTTCAATGACCTCTGAAAACACATACTGTTTCTTTAATTTAGATATTTTGTGTTGTGCTGCCAGCTTAACATGATCTGTTTCTTTTGCTGTTTTCTCCCCACCTTCCTTGCATTCCTCATTGTTTTTCTTTTCCACTAAAGCTTCTTCCAGATTATTTTTATTTTTCAGAACATCTTGAGTAGGATAAAGTGATCCTTCTCCCATTAATTTCTCAAGTTCATCTTTCAAAATGTCAACTTTTAACCCTTGCATGTCTCTCCTTTTCTTTTGTCCTTCTAGATATTCACATCTGAAATGTTTTTCTTCCTTTGGATGTATTTCTTCCCTTAACAGTTCTAGAAAGGGAATATTGTTTCAACAGTTAGACTAAGAAATCAGACAATGAAAATTTTAAATAAGAAATATGAACTGAAGGCACATCCTATATATTTAGCAGCTAGAAATTACCTTACACAAGGAAAACTAGCCACAGTTATGAGGATCTATGGGACTGAGAACTACTCCTAAATTGTCTTTCATTACACTGCAAGAGAGATTATGGGAGCAGTCCCCATGCTCCAGAATCTTCAGTGGTTGTCAGAAAAAAGAGAGCCTTGTCTTATTCTAGCAGTCTAAAAAACTGTAATAGATTTCATGTATTTCTTCATGCAGAGTAAAAGATATCAACTCTGAGAGGCTTATCCTGGGACAGAAAGAGAATTATATGTTTCAATATACAATACATTTTACAACTAATTTGCATGTCAGTCCAAACAGTTTCATGTAAAAGAAAAATCTGGTATACAGATCATTCTCCCAGGATACTGGAAAACCTGTTACGAATATACCATTGAATTGTTATAGTATGATAGACCAGCATGGCTAAATGTTCAAGAGTGTTGTCTATCATGAAATTTGCTTACATGTATAAAGTCATACAATGTCTCAAATACTCTTAGAATACCTTTGCATGTTACATTTGAAGTGTCTTCCTTTGGTAATTTTTCAAATTGATGAAATTCTGATTTTAGTGCTGCCTCTTCATGCACACCACATAATTTTTCTTTTGAATCTTGGATTGTCTTCTCCTTAAATACATAGTTAGAAAGAGAAAATATACCACAATTTATTTGCATCTTTTAATTTCTGAATATGTATGAAGAGTGACAAAGTAGTAAATGATTAAGGCATTTTCTATACTAATAGCATCACTTTGATCTAAATCCTTTCATTGTAGGAGTTCTCAAATCTTCCATAAATTAAGGGAAGCGGTAAATTATTTGAATCACCCCAAGATTCACCTGATTTAAGAATGGCAATTCATCTGTCTGCAGTGGTTTAGGGAAGAGAAAAAGAAATTGTATCATTTTATGGTTCACAAGTGATTACTATAGTATCAAAAGCTTGTAAAAATGAAGGATTGGATCACAGTGTATAGACACAGCAGAGTTTATCCACAGATGTTTAAAAGATTACACAAGTCTACAAGAAAGGTATCTTTTACTAATTCTTCAGATCCTCCGGATAAACAATATAGTTCCAGTGCCACAGAGGACAATAATATTACAGGAGATTAGGACAATAGTTCCAATAAATTGACCACTTCAACATCCTTTTTTGTACAGCCCCAGGACATATGAAGTATACTAGTGACCAAAAGAAAAAACAGCATCAAGAGAAGACAGATCACCAACTGAAGTTGGGATGGAGATTAGTTTACAATGTATTTGATCAAACCCTTACAGAACCAGAACAATGGGTCCTTAATAAAAGTTTATCGTATGTTCCAACTCCATGTCATGACCCAGTGACCCCCAAGGATCGACATTTTCAAACTTGTTAGAAACCCTGAAACTAAGATCTTTTTTTAACTGAACAACAAGGTAACCCAAGGAGTACGCCTTTTTGTGTTATATCTCACTTTATACCTCCTCGGCTCTTTCGACTTGCTATACAAGTGTTTGAGGAAAGAGTAATAATTTAGAAAAACTGGAATGTAATTTATATCTAGATGAGTGAACTTGAATAACAAAGAGAGGCTGGCATTAAATAAACTATCCAGTGACCCTAATATAATAATCGAAGAAGCACATAAAGGAGGTGCAGCTGTTGTTCACAATAGGTCAGATTATGAATTGGAAGTTACGAGGCAAGACAATAATCCAACATACTATACCTCACATAAAAACAATCCAGGTCCATCAGTTCAATATACCACTAGAACGTTACTGGAAGGTCTTATATGGGATACATTACACCTATGGAAAGAGATTTCCTTGATAATGCTAACTCTAGAACCCCAGTATTCTACATTCTACCAAAAATACATAAAAATATTTTCCTCCTCCCAATAGGCCTATTATCTCTGGTTGCGGTTCTATCCTGGATCTTCTATGCAAATATATTGGCTTTTTCATCTGACCATTTGTGTTCTTAATGCCATCATATATAAGACACTACTGATTTTATTAACAAACTGGATTGTATATCTAATATAAATATAGAAATTCTTTTCATTACACTAGATACTGTACTACTTTATACCAACATTCCCCAGAGAGAAGCATTATCTATTATAGAAGAATCCTTAAACATAAGAAATAATAGGAATCTCTCAATTCATTTCTTGTTATCTCTGGATGAAACCGTGCTCACAATTTCTTCTCATTTAATGATATATTTCCAAATTAAAGGCATTGCCATGGGATCTTCAGTGGCCCCAGAAGTTGCCAAATTATATGGGCAATTTTAAAGATAAATTTATTTATTCTGCTAACCCCTTCCATAATTGTATCATTAAATGATGGCAATATCTAGATGATGTCTTTTATTGTGGAATATAATTACTGGCTGGAAGAACAGGACAAAAATATTAAAATGGGCCTCCATGTGGATGACAAGAAAATTAATTTTTTAGGTGTCATGGTCATAACGGAACAAGATAAACTCTATACAAATCTTTATTTCAAACACCAACACATAAAAACTCCCTTTTGAGAGATGACCATCACCACCCAAAACATATGTGGAATATGTGGAATAGTTTACAATAATAATAGAATAATTATAAAACAAAATTTATTTTAGTTACGATACACTTTTTCTGTGCCTCTCAGCTTTGTATGGCCAAGGTAAGTTCTTTGCTCACCTTGCTCTTGTTACAGCTCTGATTGAGACACGTAGGCCTTACCTTATAGTCAGGGGGACTATTTTTGGGCAGGAACGCACAGGAACGGAGTTCCGGCTGGCTCCCAAGTTGGCCACACCCATCAGGAACTCATTAGCATAATAGACCACATCCAACAGCAGAAACTCATTAGGATTGGCTACATTAGGGGTGTGTGGCCTAACATGCAAAGGCGTTCCTGCTACAAAAAAGCCCTGGGTTTTGACAACAAACAAGGTAAACAGAATAACAAGAAAAAGGTGGGTGTGGCTGAATAACCACACTTCTGGTAACATGGGGGTGTGGCCTAATGTGCTAATGAGCTGTGCTGTCATGGGGTGTGGCCTAATATGCTAATGAGTTTCTGCTGTTGGGTGTGGCCTATTATGCTAATGAGTTCCTGCTGGGCTTTTTCTACAAAAAGACCCCTGCTTATAGTCCAATCAAAATGGACACAAAGGGTAGAGAAAAAGTCTTGAGCTTCTACTAATGGGGACACCTAGAATACTGGCATGAAAGGAGCATAACCAAGATTTAGCAATAAGGAAAACAACATATCATTTTCAATTATCTAAAGCTCTCCAGAAAATCTGTGAATGATTAAAAGAGCTGAGAAGACAACTTTAAGCAGATCTGCCATACCTCTTTTAAAACTGCGCTTTTCTCTGTCTCGTGCTTTTGAAGTGGGGTCGTTGCTTCTATTTTAAAACTCTTATCTGCTTGTACTGCCTTGTTTATATTACCTATAAAGGAGGAGTTAATAATGAAAAACATTAACTTTTTGAAAAACGAACATAAAATGGAATAACTAAAACTTCAAAAAGATCACTGACATGCAGCTTGAACCTATCTACATTTACTTACTCCCAGTGTGTTTATTACTGCAGCTTTAATAACACACATGTGCCTCATTCCACAGAGTTAGGAGTGCAGCAATATCTATTAATTTCCTCCCTTGAACTGATCGGAATTTTGGAAGAGTGATGGGAGAGTTTTAACTGTGGTCACCTCCCCAAGAAGGGGGAGGGGGACCTCCATTTATGCTACAACAGATCTGCAATATGCTTGCTGATTTCTGGACTCTCTGTACGGACAAATCAGGTTCTAGGATATGCGCCACCCTGTGCCCATTCAGTAAAGGTGATGCACAGTGTAGAAACCTGTCTGTAACTACTTTTATCATTAGTCTCATTAAATCATATAAAAGGATACATATAAAAACAGATTTTATAACCAGTACTTACAATGAAGAATTTTCACATATATATTCTGGACCTGCAGAAGGGCAACTGTATTCACATGAAATCACATGAAACTGTCTTATAGTGAATCAGACCCTTGGTCCATCAAAGTCAGTATTGTCTACTCAGACTGGCAGTAGCTCTTCAGGGTCTCAGGCAGAGATCTTTCACATCACCTACTGCCAGACCTTTTAACTGGAAATGCCTGGGTTTGAATGTGGGATCTTCTGCATTCCAAGCCAATGCTCTACCACTGAGCCATAGCTCAGTCTCTTACAGCACAAAACAAAAGGAGTCTTGTAACATCTTCCAGACTAGCACATGTATTATGACATACATTTCCATGGACTACATATGTTATCAATGTGTTATCAATGGGCAGACACACACAAACACATCCCACATATACATAAAAATAGCCTATGAAAACTCCAGGTGATACAAGATAAGCACAACAGCAGTTACCATTGATAACAGAATCTTTCTAGACTTACTAAACTAATTTGGCACCCAAAGAGAGTGAGAAAATATTTGTCTTGATTCAAACCTAGATGAACACAACTCCCTGATATATCTGATGGGGTCTCCTTTTAAAGTTATTTTGTTGTATACTGATGACTTATGATGAGCAGCAGTGTGACCTGGGAGAATGAAATGTTTTCTCACTGGTTTCTGAATGCTGTGATTTTTAATGTCTGATTTGCAACCATGTATTCTTGTGTGTAGAGACTGACTTATTTGACTCTACTGCCTACATAGATCAAACTTTCCAACTTTTAAATTGGTACCTCTGGCTGTTCCTTTAATATTGTTTAATCTGCAGCAAATGGCTGGTGATATTATTTACCTCCATGCCATGAAAATCTTCAATTGCCTGCCTATTTCCATGCATGAAGACTCTATCAGAGGGACAGGACATTGTTCTCCAGACCTGTTGCCATCCTAAATCAAACAGATCAGTTTCCATATTCATGTACAGATATCTGAAGACACACATCAGACATATGATGAAGTGGGTTCTAGTCCATAGTAGCTGATGCTCTAATAAACTGACCAGCCTTTAACATGTCACCAGATTTTTTTTGGTTTTATCTGTTGTTGCTGCATCAATCAAGTCCAGGTCTCACCAGGAAAATCAAGGAGAAATCTCTGTAAGTTTCCTTAGTATGATGACTAGGGGGAGCTGTACATCTAGCTGTGTTTAGTACAGCCAAAGTTTTTCTCCCACAAATAATTGCGGGAGAATTATTATCAGGCCATTCATTCTTAGAACTGCAGTCTATTAAAAAGCTATGGAGCAGTTTGATATCACCTAGTACAAACCTGTTCCTGCAATTTAAAATGTATTGTTGTACCACAGCTAAGTTCGTGATTTACTGGGTTTGTGTGGTGGCGGCGGCAGCAGCATTATTGGACTGGTTAAGATGGGACAGGAGGAGACTCTTTAAAGTGCCGGCATTCTCAGAACAATGGGATGGCTCTGCCTGTAAGCTTCTCTGCAGCCTAGCCCAGGGAAGTACTTACTGTCACTGTACTGATCATCTGCTCTGAAGGTAAGAGCAGACATCTCAACTGAATTGCATTATTATTTTGAAATAAACCCCCTTGGATACAGCAAGAACAACATGGATAGAATTTTCTTAAATGTCCGTCATTTTTGCCTCCTTCCCTCTCCCTTCACAGTAAAGACAACCCTATTCTAGTACTCTTTAAATGGCGAACCCCACATCAATCACTACAGATATTTAGTACTGTAAAACCTTCTAATCAGGCTTTAACACATTACCTCCTAAATCAGCCTACATGCCATTTCAAAGCAGCAGACACTTTTTAAAAATGCTTCTCATAAAACTACCTTTCGGGGGAGACTCCAGCTCACATTTGTCTTGTTGACTTTTAAGCAGCCGGTTTGCATAAATGTTCCTTACACCAAGTTCTCGTTCTTTTTCCTACAAAAATATAGTATTATACTTCAAAAATGACAGAAAAAATTGTTACATGCACTGCACTTATGCCATCTATCCTGATTAGCTGAATTCACCTCCATAACTATTCATACCTTCCTAACCTCTTGGCTCAAAGCAGCTTAGTAGCATGTGTGCTCATCCATTGTCCTAATAGAGCAAATGTTTTGTATGTCTGTCAGGTCAGCTGACTAAATGCAGCTCATTCTGCAGAGGCTGCAGAGCTTCCTCAGGCTCCTTTATCTGATAAGCCTCTCCAGACATGCCTTTTTAGGGCTTGCTTAAGGAATTCACAACTCTAAAGCTGGTCCCTACAAAATGGCCTTTGAAGTGGTGATACTCTGCAAAACATACCTGCTGTTCTTGATGTAGCTGCTATCTTGGCTTTGTATTTGACAGTTCAGGTGCGCTTAGTTTTTGGTTTTGAGAATTTGTCACTGCAGCTTTCTATGGTGGCATTTGTAGAATGGAATTCCCTCCCTCCCTCCCAGATAAATTGGCTTGGCCCATTCTATTGAAAGATGCAGGCCAATGCTGAAAACTCATCTGTTTGGACAAGGTTTTTGGTTGGTTGGCTGGCTGATGTCTGAGCTGCCACCTCAATTTTAAACATGTGGATTGACTTTCTTTTTAATTGTATTTTATCATTGTTACGTGCTTTTAATTATTGCTATATAACCCACTATGAAGCCAATGGCTGAAAAGCATCCTATAAATCCGATCATAACTAACTAAATAAATCCTGGCAGTATTGGAGAGCTGTCAAAAGCCAAACCTTCAGGAGTCTACCCCCCACCCCCACCCTCCACCACACATTCTAAAACATTGTTTTCAATTTAGAGGATGAATTTCACATTCAAAATCCATATTTTCAATACTATTTAATTCTGGCATTTTACAAAATGGGACTCCAGCTCTATGTCCTAACTGAAACAGACCCTGAACATCACAGCTGCAGGTGAAAGAGCCATGAGGAATAAGAATGCTGCTACACTTTTTTCTTTCTTACAAGCAGGGCTATAGCTAGAGTAGGGCAAGTGACTGTACCACCACACCTAGCACATTGATTTATCAGAGCTAGTAATTTATTAAAATATTTTCTTAACTTGTGACATTACAGCTTGCATTTGAAAACTGAGTACTCATTTTTAGAATATGAAAGTTTCTAGTTGGCAAAGAAGAATGGAGACACTACAAACTCTCCCCACTTGATTTAATTCGGCTCTGCTCATCTAATATTCCTCCTCCCCTTTATACTTTATTGTGCTTAAGTTAGCGTACAAAATGCTTCCTCTAATCAAGAGAATCACCATGGGTCCCCTTCAATCCAAGCATCATATAAAACAAATTTGCATAACTTTCCAAGCTCCATGGGCCTCCAAGGTTATCAAGGCCTCTGGAATGTTGATGTTCTCCTAGCAGCCATCCTGCCTCTAGTTGCTAAGACTCTGATCACAGCAAGATGCTTAAAGGAGGTAAATGGTAGTGTAAGGAAGTTCTTCTTTATTCAGGGAAAGTGATGGTTATAAACAGGCAAAGATTTAGAACAAAAAAATTATTCATACTCAACTAACAATTCATACACATTAAACTGCACACAAACACATGTGCTTAGCCATGAGGATGTAGAAGTGTATGATGCTTATGGAGAAAACCCTGGTTTTCCTTTTTTTTAAAAAAGCCCCACCTGAAAATGTGGCTGGCCCATTGCTGAGACAGGCTGGCTAAAAGAACTAGTTTTGTCTCTAAAGGGACTTTACAAAATATTTTGATTCAAAACAGTATGGGAAGTACATACTGTCAGGGCTTTTTTGGTAGAAAAAGCCCAGCAGGAACTCTTTAGCATAATAGGCCACACCCAACAGCAGAAACGCATTAGCATATTAGGCCACACCCCATGCCTTCCCTTGGTTTGCCCAGGAAGGAAAGGGAAGGCAGTTTAAACTGCCTTCTGTTGGCTTGCCAGGGCACCCTGTGGCTGTGAGGAGCCCAGGCAAGCCAGCCCTTGGACAGGCTTGGGAAGGCATGGGGAGGCATTTAAATGCCTCCCCAATCCTTCCAGGGACCCCTGGCCCCCCTGCCTCAGAGTTGCTGGGGGGGTCGCTCTCCAGGCATATCTCTCTTCCCTCTGTATCCACACATGTAGAGGTTTTGGCTGTAGTGGGCGTGGCCAACTCTGAAGCCAGCCGGAATTCCGTTCCTGTGCGTTCCTGCCCCCAAATAGCCCTGCATACTGTTATCTGTTGTGATATCAGACTTAAATGAACTCTATCTGCCTCAGACTTTATGAAATGTGCTTAGCACAATGGCTGCAGTCACACACACTACATAATCCTCTTTCAATCCACTTTCAATGAACTTTCCAACAAGATTTTTACTGTGTGAACTGGCAAAATCCAATTCGAAAGTGTATTGGAAGTGAATTATTTAGTGTGTGTGACCACAGCCTATGACTCTGGTCCACTAATGGCAGAGCATTCATCTGGCACAAAGAGCTTTCTACAAACATGAGGTTGTTTCACCTGCAAAAGAAACTCTTCCGCTGTCAGAAAGTTCCTTACGCCAAAGGAAAGTTCTACCAATAGCAGAACAGGATTTCACCCATTGTTATGCTTTCAATGTACTTCCTTTTTTTCCTATGTTCTGCAATGAGCATATTAAATGCAATACACATTTATAGTAAAAGAGACATAATGTAAGCATTAAATACCTTGATTTTTTGGTTAAGTGACTTAATTTCCATTTGAAGATTTGTGGTGATCATCTGAGCTTCAATTGTCTTTTTCTTCTCAGCAGCTAACTGATGACTAAAGGAGGTATTATTCAGCAGCAGCTTCTTTTCCAGACCCTGAAGATATAACAAGTATGAAAATCTGCTTTATCTCATCCGTACTGACAATTTACAAAACAAAGTATCATGTTTTTTAAAAAGCACCATATAAAACTGGAGATTTTAATAAATTTCTTTGGGAGGATGAACAGCCCAATCTCACATATAATACCATTACTTTATTTGTTTTTGCCATCACAATTGACTTATGGCAACCCCTGGTGGAGTTTTCAAGGCAAGACACCCAGGGGCGGTTTGCCATTCCCATCCTCTGCATCGTGACCCTGGTATTCCTTGGTGTTCTCCCACCCAAATACTGACCAAGGCCAACCTGGCTGTATCACTTTGTAAAATAGGATTAGCTATTTTTGAAGATATTCAAAAGCCTAGTGATAGAAAGTTGTGGTAGAGATAAACGGATAGCCTCCACAAAAAGGAAACCCATTGATTCACACTCTGAACACAAGGCAGATGGAAAATCTAATCCATTTTTATCCAGCCCTTCCTTTAAGGAGCTCAAAGCAACATACATTGTACTCCCTTTTCCATTTCACCCTCTCGAGAAACCTGTGAGACAGGCCAAGTTGAGAGCGTGACAGCCAGGATCCTAAGCAGCAGGCAATAGTGCCATCTGCCCATTTCTGCTGCACAACCCCCCCACCAAAGCACCCCCATTCCCTGCTGCCACTCAATGAACCAGCAGGAGAAAACGGGGGGGGGGGGGGGGCAGAATCTGGAGATGTCATCACAGTGAGTTTCATGTCTGAGTGGAGATTTGAATCCTAGCCTCCTCAGTCCTAGTCCCTTTCAACACTAAATCACACTGGCTGGGAACACACACATGAGTCTTTCTCTGCCTCTTATGAAATTTAGAAAAAAAATAATACTCTCTTTCTATAGCAGCTAGTATGGGCATCAACTCAAGAGGCTTACAAATCTGGCATGCAGGGTTCCTTGGACACTGAAGTGAATAGGAGGCTTCCTCCAGCCAGAATCATATGTGTGTATCTGTGCATGCTGTAAACTTAGGATAGTTTACTGAGGCCCTGTTTGCACGAGGGGTTTTGGGCCGGGAGCGGGACGGATCAGGGGTGGAGCAAACGGGCGCGATCCCACGGCAACATCTGGGAATCGTTGCCTGTCCGTCCCCGATCCGTCCCTCCCGCCCAAAACCCCGCACTAAAAAAGAACCACCTACCTAGGTGGTTCTTTGGAGAAGAGTGGCTCAAATCTGGCTGTGGGATTGCTGGCGCGTCCTTGCGCCGGCGCATCCCCGGGCCCCGGGCGTACTGCGCATGCTCGAGCATGCGCAGTTTGGCAGCCTCCCCCTCCCATTCGTGTCTTCCTCCCCGGCATCTGATTGTGCCGGGGAGCGACGCGCCGCGGCTCAGGGGATCTGTGGGATCCCGCCGCGGCGTCTCAACTTTGGTGCGGCTTTTAAAAGCCGCACTTTTCCCAGTGTTTTCCCTGCCGTGTGGCAGGGGCCTGACTGTCATGCTCTGAAACATCCTGACACATACCTCAGGTTTATTCTGCTGTTCAGTAGTTAGATATACTACTAGTTCAAAAACTGCACTTGATGAATGACCCCCCCAATTGATTTTAGTGATAATAGGGTGTTTGTTCATGAAAAATTCATTTAACAGACAAAGAATTGAGATTAAGACTGTGGTCCCAAGCATGCTTATTTGGTGTAGTGGTTAAGTGTGTGGACTCTAATCTGGGAGAACTGGGTCTGATTCCCACCCCTCCACTTGCAGCTGCTGGATAACCTTGGGCAAGCCATAGTTTTGACAAGAGCTGTCCTTGAAAGAGCAGTTCTTGAAAGAGCTCTCTCAGCCCCACCTACCTCACAGAGTGTCTGTTGTGGGGAGGGGAAGGGAAAGGGAAAGGAGTTTGTAAGCTGCTCTGAGACTCCAAGTGAAGGGCGGGGTATAAATCAAATCTTCTCTCTCTTCTTCTTATTCAGAAATAGTACCCTCTGGTATCAGTTACACATCCTTGAGCAATACTATTTAATCTGCCTAACAGGCTTTAGAAAAATATCACTGTTATCTCCCATATGAAAGGGTGCTCCCATGACACATCCAAGCAGCAGCTGCATGGGAGAACTCATACATCAGAACTCTAGCATCATCCTCATATAGAATGATTCAGTTATGAAAATGCATTGATACGCTGAATATTACCTGAATTCTCTTATCACTGGCTTCCATTCTTTCAGTAAGGGCTGTTAATCTGTGCTGAAGTTCCCCTCTCTCAGCAAGATGCTTGTCTTCACAAAGTTTCTGCAGTGCCTGGAAAGCGTCTTTCGTCTTGAGCAGTTGTATTTCAACTTCTCTAAGCTTTCTGGATGCATTCCGCTCCTGCTCCTGAGACTTCCTGAGAAGCACTCTTAGAGTCCTCACTTCTCGACTGTGTTTCTCCAGCAGATCAGGCAGGTTAGTCTCTGCATTTTCATATTTTGCTATTGCTTTTAAATGTCGGTACTGGAGATTCTTCAAAAGCTGGTTTTCCATATTGGATGCTTCCAATTTATTCTTCAAAACACACACTTCGTTTTTCAGCTCCTTAACTTTGTGGAGTCTAGCTGACAATATACGGCGAGCCACATTATTCTTCTTCTGGGAATTTACAACACTGTAACAAGCAAAAGAAGTCTTTTGCTGTTGTTTCTTTTTAGGTAGTTTCTTTCCTCCTGTGTTCAAATCAAAACAAGAAATAAGACACAAATAAGTCTGTATCATTTCTAGGCCTATTGAATAATATTACTGGGTATCAATTACATTTCAGAAACAATGAAATTCAACCAAAGGAATGTTTAAATATTTTAGGCTTTCATATCCACTGCACAGACATGTTCATTTACCTATTTTGTCCAGTTTATCTCTTGATGCAAGAGTATCTCTATGAATGCTTCTTTCAAAAAGTTACAGTTCTGTTAATAAACAGATCTTGAGATTCTCAGAACAGTGCTTTTTGCTTCATGGACACCTCTCTGAAAAACCTTCTTCATCCTCATGCTCATAATCAGGTAAAAAAGCATTGTAAGCTGTTGGGGATTCACGAGATGTAGATTCCTTCATATATGCAAACATATATGCAGATATATTCAAGTGATATTTCAGCTTTATTATGCTGAATCATGCACACATACTGGGTTATATATATTACATGTCTATAGGAATGGGGAACTCCAAGCATGGCACACAACGAGCGCAGTGGGTTTCCATAACTGCCAGGAGGAAATGTGAGGAACAAAGGGTTATAATACTTCCTGGGGTGCAAAGCAGCAAATATGAAGGGATAAATGTTTGTCTAGTTAAATGGTAGAAAGAGACAGGTATGATCACTGTGGGATAAGCAATAGGAACATTCAAATTTCAATAGCTTATATGGACTAGTTACTACATCACAGAAAATAAAATAGGCTGAAACAGCTAAACAAATTCTAGATATCCTTTTTGTTTAAAGACACTGCAAAGTCAAAATAGCCAGGTAAAAATAAAAAAGTTACTGAAATAATACTTTAGCATCTTTCCAGAGATCAAGGGTTTGTTAATGGTAGGAGCGGAAGCTATAGTTAATTCCTAGACCTCAAGTTGATCAACTAGATGATGATGGAGGACTTTTGTGGTTGGAAGGAAGTCTACAGATAAACAAGTCAGTTAAGGTTCAGTATTCTTTGGAGAAGATTTCTTGGTGGATAAGTTGTAAAATAAATTCAAGGGGCATCTTTTATTCTAACACAATGGCCTGTATCCTGCCATTCTGCTCAGCAGTTTGAAGTCTTCCTGCAGACCAAGCAGCCTTCTTTCAACTTGTGGCTTTTCTTCTAGTGGAAGAACCATTTAAATTGGACAAAGGCTTCTTAGGCTTGAGAAAGGTTTCAAACTTTGCTGAGTCAAATGACAGCATATAGGCCATTACCTTTTCAGAATGAGCTAGGATAAAAGGTAACTCTAAAATAATTCTTCTCAGGTCTTAATATACTACCAGTTCTTAGTATATGAACCCATATGCCAACTCACTTGGCACATTTTTACTACCCCATTCCCCCAAAAAAGATGCAATAGCTGCTGCCATTTTTTGTCATAGCCCTGAAATGTTATACCCCACCCTTCATCTAAGGTGTTTGGGCTACTGCACAGGGTGTGTGTCCCTTTTATACTCATGAAGTCCTGTGAGACACATTATGCTGTAAGATCCTGCCTGGTCCAAAGTCAACCAGTGAGACAATGAGGTTTTGAACTCAAGTCTCCCTGGTCCTAGTCTGACAATCTAACCAATACCCTGGCTTCCAATTCATGGCAGCAAATATGGTCATGAATACGAGATGGTCTAACACACTGGTTTAATGCTCTTTTCTTATTACAGAGGTGGCTCCCAGGTACGTAAAACTTAGCATTTGATGCAGCCAAAGATGTCAGACACTTTACCAATAAAAGTGAAGAAGCACCACAATAGCCAATATGCTACCAAAGCCCTGAACTTCATTAACGTTAACAGTAATCTGTCACCTACACACCAACTTAGTAGTGTTCATGCTGCCAAATGTCTTCTCACCTTTTGCTTGGTGACCGTTTTCTTTTTTCTCCTTTGGTAATTCCACCTTTTTGGTTTCTGGTTGGTCTAAATGACTGCTGCTGCTTCTGCTACTGTTACTACTAACACTTCCTGAAGAATCTGTGTGAAAGTCTTCACAATAGCACTTCTGAGAACTTCCACAGTTGTTCCGTTCTGAACAGCTGCTGCTATTGCTGCTAGCACTTCTTGAAGCATTAGCATGAAAGTCATTGGAATGGTCAAGCTGAAAACATCCACTTCCACACTGGGTGGTATGTTTGCTACAATTATTAACTTTATTGCAACTGTTGCTTTGGGTGCCCTTATAGATTCTGTTAGGAGAATCACTCAGGCTTTCATTTCTTGCATGTCGTTCACATTCATCATCCTGGACTATAAAACGGAGAAAACAGTCATCTGAGGCCGTGATTCCGTTGTTAGAATACATAGTGATCAAGAGACATAATCTACTGAAAGACAGAAAGATTGTCAGTTATTTATAAAACGGGCAGGAATAACAAGATATTTAAATTAGATCTGGAAATCACGCTATATATCACTCTAGGATTCCTCCTGTATGCTCTGGTAAGTAGTTCTCTCACCCTCCCGTTTCCATACCAACACACCTTCATAACATATGTCTAATTTACTATATGATTTGTTTTCAGAAGATGGGATGTGCTTGTAAGATAGAGTACGTGTTTCCAGCATTGCAATTCTCATTGTACAAGGTTTGGCCTCTGATCTCCTGGGGGGAGGAGTTAATAATACCAATATAATATATGTGGTGAAATATTTAAACCTACATGAGAAACTCTTCTTTCAGGCTATCTGTCCCCAGGAAAATACTATGGAGGTTGGTGGCAAATTATTCATGTAGAAAGTGCCAGGGAACTCCAACATAGTCATATTTGACTTCAAAAGAGGAAACTTTCCTAAGATCTGGTTTAAAAAAATAGGTTAAATGGAACAGCTAAGCGGGTCAAATCACTTGAAAGGGCTGGGGAGGTTACTCAAAACCTTCATACTAGAAATGTAGTACAAAGATCTAAGAGGTCAACATGGCTAATGAGCAGAGTGAGGGAAGCTATTATAGTGAAAAAGGTTTCCATCAGAAACTGAAAGGTTTACCCAAACATGGCAAACGAAAACCAACATAAAGTAGCACAAAGGCAATGCAAGCACACACTTAGGCATGAAAAAAAGGATTCTGAGGATCATATCACTAAAAGCATAAAGACCAACAATAAAGAATTCTTTAAATACATTGGAAGCAGGAAACTAGCTAAGGAAGCAGTTGGACCATTAGATGTGGATAGAAATGAAGGAGTTCTAAAGGACGATAAGGCAATTGCTGAGAAACTAAATTAAGTCTTCTCATCTGTCTTCACTGCTGAAAATATAAGGCTAATACCTGTTCCTGAATGGATGTTTTCAGGAGGGGAGGAGGGGAGCTTAGGCAAATAGCGGCAACAAGAGAGGAAGTTCTAGAATTTATAGACAAATCACAAGCTAACAAATCACCAGGACCAGATGGAATCCATCCTAGACTTCTTAAAAAACTCAAATATGAAACTTCTGATTTTCAACTAAGATATGCAACATGCTTCTAAAATCAGCCTCTGTACCAGAGGACTGGAGAGTGTTCCATGTAACTCCCATTTTAAAAAAGGGATGGGGGGGGCAATCCAGAAAATTACAGGCCAGTTAGTTTAACAATATGTTCTAGGTAAATTGATGGAAAGCATTATGAAATATAAAACTGTCAAGCACATAGGACAAGCCCTGCTGGATAAAACACATCATGGCTTCTACAAAGGTAAGTCCTGTCTCAGTAACCTTTTGCAGTTCTTTGAAAGTGTCAATAAACATATGGGCAGGAATGAGCTGGTAGACATAGTTTATTTGGATTTCCAGGAGGCTTTTGATGACATCCCCCACCAAAGACTCCTGAGCAAATCAGAGTAATGGGATAAGAGGAGATTGGAAACGAGCTAAAAACACAAAGAGGATGGTCAGTTCTCACAATGGAGGAATGTGAGCAGCAGGGTCCCTCAGGGAGCTGTACGGGGACCGGTGCTTTTCAACTTCAAGTGATGCGTATTGGGGCAAATAATCCCAACTTCACATATACACTGATGGAATCTGAACTGGCAGCAACAGACCAAAGAAGAGACCTTGAGGTGGTAGTGGATAGCTTGATAAAAATGTTAACCAAGTGCACAAGGGCTGTGAAAAATACAAATTCCATACAGGCCATAATTAGAACAGGAATGGAGAATAAAACTGCCACTATCATATTGCCCTATACAAATCTGTGCTGAGACCACAATTGGAATATTTTGTACAGTTCTGGTCCCCCCAACTGAAAAAGTGTAAAGATGTAGAACAATCAACCAAAATGATCAGGGGGCTAAAGCAGCTGCCCTGTCAGGATTGGTTAAAATGCTTGGGGCTGTTAAGCCTAGAAAAAAGGAGAGTAAGAGAGGAGACATTCTAGAGGTTTATAAAATTACACATGGCGTGGAGAAAGTAAACAGAAACTTTTCTCCCTCTCCCATAATACTAGAAGCCAGGTTAATCTGCTGAAGGGTGGGAGATTCAGGACCAACGAAGGGAAGTATTTCTTCACACGGCTATTCTATTCTATCTATTCCCTCTTGTACCAGAGGATAGTATGCCTCTAAATCACTTGCTGGGGAACACAGGCAGGATAATTTTGTTGCAATAATCCCATTTGTGGGATTCCTAGAGATAGCTGGTTGGCCATTATGTGAACAGAAAGCAGGACTAGATGGGCCTTTGGTCTGATCCAGTATGGCTTTTCTTAAGTTCTTATTCCTTGCTACTGCAGAAGTCCACAAAGAAACAGAGATCCTGAATCTTAAGCATTAGCTTTAATACCTGTAAAAATGCGCTTAGCTTGATGAACGGTTGATTTGTATATAAAAGACATAAGAAACGTGAGTAGATCTTCATTTTGGAAAGGCTTGACAGCAAAAAGCATAAAAGACTGAGAAATACATTTATAAACATGAAATGACAGAAAAACTGGCCAGAAGAGTGAGGGAAAGTTATGCAGGATAACAAAACAGGGCTAGGATAATATGCAGCACTTAAGAGAAGAAATAACCAAAAAGGAGATGCCATATTATCAAAGAGTTCTGACAAAGGCAAAATGCTAAACATTAGATTCAACAGGATCTAATGACTATGTAAAGTGAAGAAAAAGTTTTTAAAATCAGATGTATAATATTTAGGAACAGCTGTTTTCGTATGACTTCAATGAACCATGGAGATGTGTACATAAACGCTGCTAACTCAGAGGGGCACGAGCACTCTCTTCTCCGCTGTGGTAATTACGGGCCAATGTAAGCGAGAAAAACCGCCCCCAAACCCTATGGGGTCGCCACAAGTCAGCTGCGACTTGACGGCAAAAAGAGAGCGAGCCAAGCGCTGCTTCCCTCCCACCGCATCCTACGAAAAACTTCCACAGGTCGTACTCCCTCCGTATGTATTACTTCCCCGGCCTTTGTGACCCGCTCGTACCCAATAACAACTCTATTTCCCCCTCACACACTACAGAGCTTCACTAAACTTAAACTTTCCTTCCCGTACGAAGAAAGAAGTTTCCACCCCAACCGCTCTCTTCACGTTACCTGGTACGTTTGAAAGCATTGGCGGATAAAGTTGTTTTAGATTCCCTGTTACTATGGCAACCGAAGAACTTCGCTGAGAGTCATGGGACTTGTAGTCTAAGAAACAGATCAAACGGTGCAAGGACTCTGGTTTCCAAGTAATCAATTTCAAAGCTCGAGGAATGGACTGAGAAAAACGCAACAGGGTTGGGTCCTGCTGTGATTTACAACAACAACAAACTCTTAACAAACAACAACAGGAAATCTGATATGGAACTAAAATACAGGGTAGTTCAAGAGGACGCTTTTTAGAAAATGAATGGGGATCGTAGCTTTAGTGCCTTATAATTTAGATTAGACAGTTTTCTTTTATGTATTTTTATCGGTTGTGTTTTTTATTTTATTGTTATTAAAGTATGTAATCAAGTCTTAGTGCACTGTTTATTTGTATGTATTATATTGGGGATGTACAATCCTGACTTTCATTTTAGTACATCCCATTATATTGTCTTTTTCTTGCATCCACCTTGAGTATTTCGCTCTGGTTATCTGCTCAAAGTTCAATGCTTTAGGCAAGCTAGTTTTAGTTTCTTGTTTTTCCTACAGTGTTGTACATTTGTGCACCTACGAGGGTTTCCCCAGAGTTCCTCTGATCCTTTCAAACTTTGCTTTACTCTGAAGTTTTGGGAAGGATCGCAGTAAAGCCCCCTAATGGCTGGTGTTTGGATGGGAAAATTAATATTTTCCAGGCCATATAGTAGCTATTTTCCCTGACTTTGCCTACCCCCAGGAATTTCCTTCCCCAGTCACCAGGAAACTACACACACACAATCAAACCTAGAATATCATAAATTACTGATATACTGTTGTAACAATAGGTGTAGTAGTAGTTCTCTGAATTTTCAGTTTTTATTTCTTTTAGCTTCTAACCCAGGAGTGGCCAAACTTGCTTAACATACGAGCCACATAGAATAAATGTCAGATGTTCCAGAGCTGCAAGACATGAAGAGAAGAGATTGGATTTATACCCCGCCCGTGACTACCCAAAGGTGTCTCAGAGCGGCTTACAAACTCCTTTCCCTTCCCCTCCCCACAACAGACACCCTGTGAGGTAGGTGGGGCTGAGAGAGCTCTTGATAAAAACTACTCTTTTTCAAGGACAGCTCTTATCAGAGCTATGGCTTGGCCAAGGTCATCCAGCCAGGTGCAAGTGGAGGAGTGGGGAATCAAACCCGGTTCTCCCAGATTAGAGTCCGCACACTTAATCACACGCAGGGTTTTATTGAAAAATATGCAGATCTGCTTTTTATTAACATTAAATGAGACTGCCAAAATAAAAACAAAAGGGGTAAAAACAGATATTGATAATACTTATTTGTCCAATTATGTTTATTTGTTTGCTAATGATATTTGTCTAAGAGAGAGAGAAAATACATTTGAGAATGCATTTAAAGTTGCTTTCTTTCTCTGCTCCCCCCCATCTCAAGCTTACCTAGGGAGGGGAACACTGGCTGGGGAAGGGAAGACCAATCTGGGAGGCATGTCTCCCCTTCGCTTCCCCAGCTTCCCTGCCAGGAGCCACACAATATGTGTGAAAGAAGCTGCATGTGGCTCCCGAGCTGCAGTTTGGCCACCCCTGCTCTAACTCCTTCCATTGTGGAGATATAACGAAAAGGGCATACCATCAAAGAGACTATAGCTTTAATTTTTAAAAAGAAAGAAAGGAAGGAAGTTGGAAATTCAGAGAAGCTGATATGTCTACAGTTACAACAGTATATATATATATGTTATAATGTTTATAGCTACTTTTGGAAAGCACAAACTTGATCAAGTATTCATATTACTCTTTATTGCAAAAGTTCGGTATTGCTTAATTGCTTTGTTTTGGATATGCATTTCTAAAAATTTAAGCTACTTACTTGTATTTGAGCTAATTCAATAAAATAAAAACTATTTTTAAAAATTATAACAGTATTCTAATGCTAACCTTTAAAAAACTGCAAAAGCCCTTGTGGCCTGGGGGAAGTGTCACTGCTGCTGGAGGATTGGGGAAGGGAAACAGCAGGAAAACCTGCCATACCAGCTGTACCAGCAACTGGGAAACCTAGGGTACAAACTCCAGATCAGGGTGGCACCTAGGAGAGGCGAGTTTGGGGAGGGGAGACATATCAGAGACACTATGATGCCATAGAGTCCACCCTCCAAAGCTGCCATTTTCTCTAAGGGAGCTGATCTGAAAATCTGTATACTAATAGTCAAGATGTCCCCTCTGTACGGATATCTAAATCCGCACATCGGGGGCACTTAGAGGGCAAAGAGATTTGCAGAAAAATCTGAAAAGTTTAAAAAACTATATGGGGGATACTTAAATCCCCCCAAAAGTAAGAGCATTCTCTGCACATGTGCAGAGAACGCCCTGGGAACTGTCCCGCCGCCACCAGTGCTGGGGGGGAGAGAGAAGGCTTAGCAGCTCAGGCCTCGCTGTCGCTGCCAGGGGAGGTTTGGCGGGCCCAGCGGCTGGGAGCCGCGCGGGCCTCGCTGTCGGGGCCAAGCAGGGGCTGGGGAGAAGGGGAGCAGGCTCACCTGCGGCAGCTTCCTCCTCTACATGGAGCTCCTCCCCTCCCGTGAGTACCATGGGTCCCCGCTTCTTGTCATGAAGTAGCAAAGCTTCCAGTAAAAGCAGCTTAAAATGGGGCGCAGTGGAAATTGCAGATAGATGGTACTATGACAATTAGATTCCAAGTTGCATTAAGGGCCACTGTGCTGCACCCAGCACCATCTAATATAGTTAAACACGATGATAAAATTTTATAACAATATCTTGAGAAAGCTACTTCAGAGTAGCTAGATTACAAAACATCTCTCTGTATGTGAGAGAGAGATCTAGCTATTAACCTATTAACACTGCTGAACTACAGAATGACAGAGAACCCTGGGGGTTTTGTTTATTTCTTTTTTGCTTCTCTTTTCTTGCCTCCTTTTTCCAGGACTCCAGATCACTGCTTGATGGTATCAAAGTTTAAAAGTGGCTTTAAACTCTTAATTGCAATTTAGAATTTATCAGGAAGTTAGATCTTATTAATCCAGGTTTGAACAGTAAATTTTTTTTACAGACATCACAGGTGTTAGATCAGCTTAATTTTGTTGCCATGTTGCCACCTTATACAGCATCTATAAAGGTTATGGACTATGACTGTAAAGCTGGACTGTGCGAATAGTGTGCCAGGGCACTGGACTGAACAGTAGCCATGAGAAAATGCCGCCCTACTGGACTGTTGGCATGTGCCCAGACAAGGGGAATCTTGTTCTGAAGCAATGTGTCTAACCAGATGTGAACCCATGGAAGACCCAATGCCTCTCGCTCCTGCATCACTGTAGCCAGATTACATAAGGCAAGCCAGCCTCCCTGACACTACAAACACACAGACCCAGCAGCAGCTCCCTAAAGAGAAGCCTCACTCTGCAAAGGGAACCTGGATATTCCTTCCCAGACGCCATAGAAAGCTTTCTTCTCCATCACGTTGGCACCTTTCCCCCCTACCTCTGCATATTGACATCTCCAGGTGAAGCACGTAGGCAACTTCAGCCTCAACGAAATAACTCCTTTCATGATAGGATTAGTAAGCAGTCACCTTCCAGCTAACACAGCTGTTTACCATTGGATTTAACAGCAACTACCGGCAATGGAGTTGGGACATTACTATTTTTTCTCTCTCTCTTGTATCTCCCCTTCCCCCTTAAAGAGATGTCACTACCCCTATTTCAATTGCCCAACGATAAATCCCTTTTTCCTAGCCCATTAATAGTAGTTATGCTTCATGGGGACTACATGACAGATGAAGCATTAGCTTCCAGTCATTTTAGGGTATAAAAGGAGAGGATCACCCCACTGATCACTTTCTACACTCCTAACCCCACCCTATCTTTCTGATTCCATTCCTTGCACAGTGTGTTGCTGGCAACTCATGATTCCCCTCCCCCAGTTATTTCCTTTTTCACTGCAGATTCCACTCACCACGTTGGACAGGTAAAGTATCGCCCATCAACGATATTACCTGCTAATGCAAACGTCTCTGTACCTTTCTATCTGAATTCCTAGATCTGTATTGTGTGTGTGTATATTTGATTTTATATTGTGTGTTTGAGAATCCTTTCAGTAAAAGAAATCACTGCTTAAGATCTAGTCTCAGCATCTATTTCTGGGATCTGGCTAAAGTTGGACTCCCGTATACATAGGTTAGTGGTCCCATAGTTAATGCCTATTGCCACTTAATATTCATAATTCCCCACATTTATTAAGATATGAGGCAATTTGGCTAACAATTTACCCAGAAATACTGTGTTGTTGCAAGTTACTAGAATTGGATTTGGTTGCTGTCCTTATTAATATGTTTTCCTAGACCCACATGTATACATCAACCACCTAATAACACAGTTCATGGATCTGATATAGTGAGCTCCAGTCCACTAAAGTGGACATCTCCTAGTCTGTAAATTGCCACACGACTGCTTTTTGGTTTTGTTGCATTATTTATTTATTTATTTATTAATTCGGCTTCTATACCGCTCCTTCCCACAGGCTCGGAGCAGTTTACATTTGATTAATTATATCCTATCTAGGGCCACAATTCACGGGGGGAGGGTGAATGCCTACCAGCACCCAGACAGCAGGGCTCTTTTTTCTCTCGGCTCTTTTCATGGTGGGCTCTTCACCTCCTAGCGACGGCGTCTTGGTGCAGGTCTTGTTCGCAGCAACTCCTTCTGGCGAGGTCTTCATGGTGTGCGGCTGTGCGATGGTTGCAGCTCCGGCACACGTCCAATTAGCTCCGCCGTGCTGCGTCGTTGCATCACCACGCCTCCCGGTCCAATCCTCACCTGGATTCTGCCGCTGCTCGACGTCAGCTGTTCGCCATGGTTGCCGAGTCCCCAGATCTCCGCACGTCGCCACCACACCACACCGTTGCTTCACCGGCACTCCTGCTGCACACCGCTCTGTAGGGAGGAGGGTGCCCCCTGCTACCTAGGAGCCGGTACCCATTTATCTACTTGCAAGGCTTACGAACTGCTGGGTGGGCGGGAGCTGGGACAAGGCCGGGAACTCACCCCGGCCACGGTGGGTCTCGAACAGCCTTATGGCTGATCGCTGATAGATTACTTGCAGGCTGTCTTTACTGCCTGTGCCACCGCTCCCTACAGTTGGTGTAAGTTAGTACTTGCATTTCTTTGCCTTATACATCCTCATAATATGATCAGTTTTCCTCTCACACAATGTGCTTGGAGAAATAGCACTAATACTTGTTTTAGAATTTGGGGGGGTGGGAATCAATGTTGTTGGCCAGCTTTTGGGTGTACATTGGAAGGTGTTTATTATGTGAAATGCTATCTTAAAAAAAGAAAAGAAAAGCCATAAATGAACTTTACGGGAGAATGCAGTTCAAATGGAGATCCATCATTTTAATGTTTAGGATGGAAAAGGGTGGGCTCTGTGGTGGAGCATCTGCTTATAATGTATGCAGGAGGCCCTGGTCCAATCCCTGACATCTCTCGTTTTAAGGAGCCAGTAGCAAATTATGTGAAAGACTTGAGACTACTGGAATGCTGGTGTCAGTCAGAGTGAATCCAGAAAATGGAGTAATATACTGGAGGGGAGGGGAGGTTTGGTTTATAAAGGAAAAAAAAATGTTTTGATCCAGTTCTCTATGCAGAACATTCAGCCTGTAGCATTTTGTTTTGACAAGGGGCTTTACAAATCCTTGAATCTAGAAACTCAATAAGGAAAAAAAAAGCTGTTAAACATAGCCTTGCATTGTGAACTAACTCTCCTCTCCCTGTGCCCCCTCTCCTTCTCTTGCCCTGCCTGATTGGTGTGTTACTGTCCCTTGCCTTTTTAGGACTGTCACCCGGTCACTCTAAAGTGATGAGTCTGGGGGCAGGTGTCAGTCCCTCTGCGATGGATACTGTTACCAGCCAATCGCCTTGTAGCTTGGCCGTTCCCAAAATACCCAAGAACCAATGAACTGGAGAAGTGAAGAATGACAGGGCTCCAGCTGGACTGATGTGAAGTGGATATTCAGTTGGTATTCTTCTCTCAGCTTGCAGAGCTGCTGCATGCCTGGGTCAGTGTTCCAGTTCTCGTGACTCCTTGACACAGCAGGCGTGCTGGGGCTGTTAGTTCCCTGTGGCTGTCATCAAAATGGTGATCAAAGTGTTTGTAGCAACGTCCTCGGGGTCTACAGCGGTAGGTATTTTCATGTGATTTATGTTTGCATGTGTATCCATTGGCTTCCAGAAGCTTTGGGGAGTACTTCTTAACTAAGAAAGGGGTGTGGTAGAGTTACTACAGGATCCTACAGTGTGGAAAAGGAAAAACAACTCCTGAGTCCTGAGTACTTAATTTTTACAGATTTCAGAAAAGCTGCTGTGATACATTGCCTTAACAGAGTTACACCGTTATAAATCCAAATGAAGTCAGTTGGCTTAGAAGGGTGATTCAGGTGGGTAGCCGTGTTGGTCTGAAGCACGAGAACAATGTTTGGAGTCCAGTGACCTCAAACTTTGTTCGGCTTAGAAGGGTGCGACTCTGTTTAGGATTGCACTGTCCACTTGTGGCAACTTCATGCATTTGAGTGTGTGGGTATTCGTCCACAAAGCCTTACACTGCAATGTTAGTCTTTATGCCTCAAGCTCTGTACTTCTTACAAGAGATTCAGCATGAAAAGAAGTATACTGCAGGAATGTAATTTTTGTGCATTCACATACCTATGTATAAATACTGCTTAATTTCACAAATTTTGTTTGTTACTTTTGTCATTGGAGAAACAGAGTTAGTTTGGTTGCAGTGGGGAAAAACAATTTTACCTTTTTATTTTTAGGGAAATATTTGTTAGATAATGATTACAGATTACTGAAAAGGGGAAACCTACAAAATTGAGCTAATTTTATCTTTTAAAATCTTTTCAAGTTCAATGTAAAAAACCTTATATTGTATTTCCATATGAATCTGGGACATAGGTGCTGTAAGTGATCAGAACCACTATGTTCTGAGTATGCAAACAGAAGATTGGACAGTGGGAACTGGGAAAGAACTGTTTCCTTTTATATCCAGTTCCCACATGGGCTCAAATTTCAGTCCTGCCTCAGCAGTCCGTCACAGAGACACTTCTAAACAAACTGGCTGCTGCTTGCACATAACTATGTGGCTGCACTGGAAACTGGCTGACGCTCACACAATCTCAGGAAACTTCCAGAGCAGAAAGACTGAAAATGATTAGAAAGAAAAAGGTTATTGCCTTTCCTGTGCGAATTTGCATTTAATGTACATGAGTCCAAGTCTTCCAAAGCTTCCCAATGGGCTCCATTTGCATCAAATATTGCCAGTGGCATAAAGGCAAGTCATTTCTGTTTGTGTATTATGGTGAGGCCATTTCCTTCTCATCACTGGCACAATAATACTGACGACTGCATGCCCCACAGTTGTTGCAAACACTGCTTATAGCTATTGAGATAACTGTCCATGTATTGAGTTGCAACAGGAATGGACACTGCCATTGATTATATGATCAGTGTTATGATCCCAATCAGAATAAAGTCATAGAAGCTCAGCAAGCCATTTCTGGCTTACTAGTGTGTGTTCAAATAGAAATAAGAATAAAGCAAGGAGACATCTTCAAATAGAGTGGATAGGCCTTCACATTCTGGTATCAGAGGAAAAGTACCCCTTTAAGCCCCTGGCTATTGTTAACTTTTGTTTATCATAGACATATGGACCCTGTTCAAACAATACTTTATTTTATTGTAATCTATACCTTTCCTTCCTTGTCATGCAAATTATAAATTCATTACAGAGTAAAGCAGGCCCATTGAAACCAATAGGTTTAAGTCTCAGTAGGTTTAAGGCTTAACTCTATATTAGGGTGTGTATATGTCTGTTTACAAATGTATATGCCATTGGGAGGAGGTTATGGCTGACTGTTAGAACATTTGCTTTGCACGCAGAAGGTCCCAGGTTCCATCCCCAATTTTTCCAGCTCAAAGAGTCGGGTGGTTGGTGAAGTGAAACGTTTATTATTTATTTTATTTTATTATTTCAATTTATACCCCGCCCTCCCCATGAACGGGCTCCGGGTGGCTTACAGCAGTGGCCCAATTGCCAATAAAACTGATAAAACAATATACATAATTTCATAATAAGTTAAAACATAAAATCATAAGGTGCTATTCAGTTCTACAGTTCGTTGCTTACGATGGCGTATTAAGATGTCTCACAACTAGATTCCAGCTCAGTGTCATTCAGAGTTGCTCGATGTAACGGGCCAGATGTTGGCACTGAGGGCCGGGCTCATTGATGGTAGTGGTGGGGGGCCACTCCTAATTGAAGGCCTGGTGGAAGAGCTCCGTCTTGCAGGCCCTGCAGAACTGCAAAAAATCCCGCAGGGCCCTGATCTCCTCCGGGAGCTCATTCCACCAGTAAGGAGCCGCCACTGAGAAAGCCCTGGTCCTCATCATTGTGAGCCTAGTCACTTGGGGGCCCGGCAGGGTCAAGCGATTCTGTGACCCTGACCTTAGTGCTCTCTGGGGTATATGTGGGGAAAGGTGGTCCCTCAGGTATGTCAGACCCTGGACATATAGGGCTTTAAAGGTAAGCACCAACACCTGGAAACGGATTCGGTATGCTATTGGCAGCCAGTGCAGGGCCTTCACCACAGGCTGGATGTGTTCCCCTTTAGGTAAGCCCATCAACAGCCTGGCTGCGGCGTTCTGCACTAGCTGCAGCCTCCGAATTTGCAACAAGGGCAGCCCCATGTAGAGAGCGTTGCAGTAGTCTAGTCTCGAGGTGACTGTCGCATGGATCACTATGGCCTGGTCATTGCAGTCAAGGAAGGGAACCAACTGCCTAATTAGCCAAAGATGGTAAAAGGCCGACTTGGCAGTGGCTGCTATCTGGGCCTCCATTGTTAAGGAGGGGTCCAGGAGCACACCCAAGCTCCTAACCTCCAGCGCTGGCACCAATGGTGCCCCACCAAAGGCTGGGAGTGGGGTCCCCACCCGCACACTGCCCTGGCCCACACACAGGACCTCTGTCTTCACCAGATTCAGTTTCAGCCGACTCAGGACTGGAGTTCGACTGGCCACCCAGCATCAGATAGAGCTGGATGTCATCAGCATACTGATGGCACCCCATTCCATAACTCCAGGCTATCTGGGCAAGGGGGCGCATATTGATGTTAAATAGCATTGGGGAAAGCACTGTCCCTTGAGGCACTCCGCACTCCAGCAGGTGTCTCCTGGACTGTTGCTCCCCGATTGCCACCCTTTGTCCCTGACCTTGGAGAAAGGAAGCAAGCCACTGTAAGGCAAGCCCCTGTATTCCCATGTTGGCAAGGCGGTGGAGCGGCAACTGATGGTTGACCATGTCGAACACAGCCAACAGGTCCAACAACAACAGCACTGCCACACCGCCCCGATCCAGATGCCTCTGGAGATCATCAGTCAGAGCGACCAGAGCAGTCTCCGTCCCATGTCCCAGGCAAAAGCCGAACTGGAAGGGGTCGAGCGTGGAAGTGTCCTCCATAAAGCCCTGTAGCTGTATCACCACTGCCCTCTCAATTAATTTGCCCAAACAGGGCAAATTGGAGACTGGCCAGTAATTAGCCAATTCGGCCAGGCCCAGAAATGGTTTAAGAGTGGGCAGACCCCCGGGAACAGTTCCTCTAAGAGGGACTTGATAATTTCCCTCAGGGCACCTCGGAACCCCTCATGGCCCGCTTTAATGAGCCAGGAAGGACACAGATCAAGGCTGCATGTGGTTGGGCATATAGTCAAGAGCAATCTGTCAACTTCCTCCAGGCTGAGTGGGCTGAAATGATCTAATACCGAAGCTGAAGACGTGCTCGCTCACTGTTTCAACTGTGGTGGGGAGGTCGCGGCAGACCGACAAGACTTTATCCGCGAAAAAGCTCGCAAATGCCTCACAGCCAATATCCAATACCCTAGCATTTAGTCTGTCCTGTGGCAGAGCTGTTATAGACCAAATCATTCTAAACAATTGGGCTGGGCGTGAGCTTGTGGATGCAATCTCCGCCGTGTAGAAATCTCTCTTTGCAGCTTTGACTGGCATCTTGTAGGATCTCATAAACATCCTATAAGATGCTCTTGTGGCTTTGTCACAGGCGTGATGCCACCGTCTCTCTAGCCGTCTCAGCTCTCACTTCATAAGCTGCAGCTCCTGGGTAAACCAAGGAGCGAGCTTGAAGTGAGGGCGCAGAGGGCGATCTCGTCAATGACTGCGGAGAACTGGCTATGCCAGTCCTCCATAAGCTCGTCCAATGAGCTGCCAGGGGGCATCGGATCCCGTAGAGCCATCCGAAGCCGCATTGGGTCCATCTGGCTCCACGGGCGAGCAAAAATGCGCTCGCCACCTAAACAGGGTCGGGGCAGCACATTTAAGCGGGCCCTCAGGGCATGATGGTCCAACCATGGGACTGCCGAAGCAGTAACTCGGTCCACTATTACCCCTGCCGCAAAAATCAAATCGAGCGTGTGCCCAGCCCGGTGAGTGGAGGTTGTTATATACTGGGAGAGTCCTAGTGCCACCATGGACGGCACCAGGTCCGCTGCCTGACTGGGGGTTGCATCATCGTCATGGACATTGAAATCACCCAGGACTATAAGTCTGGGGTGCTTCAATGCCCAGCCTAAAACAGCCTCCATCAGGGACAGTTGGCTATTGGTACACCAGCCAAATTGCCACATTCTCCCTGGCCTCCCATGCCAGGCCGGCACACTCAATGCCCGTGATCTTAGGCGACAGGAGCGTCCTGAAGGAGTAAGCCTCCCAGATGAATATAGCCACTCCCCCTGCCCCCAAGTCCGTGATTGGTGAAGGACCGAGAACCCGGGAGGGGCAAGCTGGGAGAGAGCTACCGTCTCCCCATCCCACACCCAGGTCTCGGTCACGCATGCCAGGTCTACCTTCTGTTCTTGCACAAAGTCCTGAAAGATCATGGTCTTATTATTGATAGACCTGGCGTTGCACAACACCAATGTCGGAGAGGGGTTCATCATCCTAGCCCCACTGCTGACATCCCTCGAGATGGGGCACAGGCTGGAAGGGGGCTGAGCTTTCCTATTTCTCTGCCTCCTTCCTTTCATTCTCTGCCTGGCCCCACCGCTATACTTCCCCCTCCCCAGGAGCACTGGAATCCCCCGCTCAGACATCACCGTGCCCGGTGGTCTTCA